GTTGTTGTTGTTGTTGTTGTTGTTGTTGTTGTTGTTGTTGTTGTTGTTGTTGTTTTGCATGGCCAGCTGGTACACAGATCCAAACCCTTGCCCATTACATACTATTGGCTCTGTCTCTTTGGAGAACCCTGACTAATACAGATCTGACGACCATGGGACAACGTGATGATGAGTTTCCCATTGTTCAATAAAATCGGTAGGCCACTGAAGTTCCAAGTAACTAGGCCAAAACTAAGTTCTTTATCTGACCTTGCAAGAAATCAGGAGAGAGATAATAGCCAAATTTCCAAACAGGCCAGTTTTAGCCAGCATGACCAGGAAGTGCCTTTGGCTTCAACCTTTACAAAGAAAATATCTTTGAAACGATCAATCCGGTTTTCATTACGTCTGCTTCCCTCAGCCCTTCTCCTATTTATAAATACGCACTGACTGCGCTGCAGAGCAGCGTTCTTGGGACCTCTTCTTGTTCTGAGTGTTGCTCAATTCCTGAGTCATTCTTTGCTCAACTGAACTCTGTTAAATTTATTTTGCCTAAAGTTTTCCTGTTATCACCTCTTTAGGTTGGGAGGAGGGGGGGGGCCTCACTGGTGGTATTTGAGCTGAGAGCTGAATCACAAGAGGGAATGGGAAGGGCATTCCAGGTGGCAGGACAGCAAGTACAAAGGCCACACAGTAGGACATAACCACTGGTGGCACTGGGACCCGAACATGGTGCTGCCTGACTCCCAAGTATGTCATCTTCCCACTGTCTGCTGAGCTGCTGTGTGCCTGTAACCCAGCAGAGCTGGGTCTTTTCACTGCCCAGTGTCAGATAAGAAACAAAGGTCGACTTACGAGTAGAGACTTTAGTGGAAGGGGACTCCTGCAAGGACAGGGAGGTACTACTCAACGGGGACAACGCTGTGACTGAGAGGTCTGCGTGTACCTCAGGGGTTAGACAAAAAGGAAAATTTCTTTTATGGGCAGGAGTGAAAAAGCTTAGGAAGAACAGGGTGAGAAGCGGATGTATGGGTGGCTGGACGGGGCAGACGTGCAGGTTTTAACCTGAGATGACCCTATTCCCCTCTGGGAGGGCTGTGGGCTGGTGCCCCCTGAGGAGGGGCCAAGGTTCAGGGGCTGGGGGAAGGAAAAAATTAATGGAAGTTTCACTAACAAGCACTTCCTTCCTACTGATCAGTGGTGACAAGCAGTTCCAAATGGGAATTTGGAGGGTCTGGGATAGTCCTCATCATATCTGAAGGGGGGGCACCTGAGTCTCGTCTAAATCCGAGGTCATCAACAGTTTCCAGAAACACAGAAAGGGTGGAGGGGTGCTTCTTAACCAACGCCCCTTTTCAGGAGCACCAGGCCCAGGTACTGTTCAACACTGCCAGTTCTCTCCTGTTCAAGAGGAAAGTCCCTCAGTGACCGTCTACGCAGCAGTCAAAGCCCATTTCAGCCCAGTGAGGAAGCCAAGGGCAGAACTCTCCATGGAAACCTTGGAAAATCATTTAGATTTCACTGAATTCGGGTTGCCAGGTAAAACACAGCACAACCAGTTATATTTTGAATTTCAGATAACTTTTTCTCTTAGTATAGGCACGTCCCATGTAATATTTAGGACTTATAAGAATTATTCGTTGTTTATCTGAAATTCAAATTTA